TTTTTGTTTTGTTTTGTTTTGTTTTATTTTTTAGGATTTTGCTTTTCTGTCTATAATAAGAACAAATAACTGGGCTCCTGGCAAATTACAAGGAGATTTCATGAAAAACAGTTATTTAGAATTAAATGTCTCAACTGATGCATACTTAACCTTTGCATACCTGAAATCCAAGTAACACAGAGAGCATATAAATTGGACAAGCAGACACACAGTATGTTCTCAGAGTAATTATTTAATATTCACAAATATTTATGATGGAGAGTGAGAAGCAGCCAGATGGCTATGCAAAGAGTTACTGTAAACAGAATGTTTTCCAAACTTTTTTTCAAATAGCCAACTGGAAAGAGTATTAACAGGGAGATGAAGATGGGTGAGGAAAGGAAAGTAGGGAAAGAGAACAACATCCTTGAACTTGATTAATCGTTTGTCATTCTACTTTTTTTTTAACAAATCAAGCATTTGATGATATTATACATATTACTTATCCTACAATATAATTATTACTACAGAATTATTATTTTAATTCTTTTTGCATGTCAAGATATGTTTTGTTTTGCTTTAGTAGGTAGGTCTTGAGGTTAAAATTTTCATAAACTTAGTCACAGCAGAGCTAGAAAAAAGCTATTAAGTAAAATGAAGAGTGAGAGTTAATCTACTCTTAAATTAATAGCGCTTGGGTATCAGTTACTAGGGCATGATATTAAGGAGCCTGAATCAATAGATTCAATCACTTTAGGGACCTTTTGGGTTCCCATTCTATAGTACTGGCACATATTCTAATTAACTGAGATCCGCCTTGCCTTTTACAGGGTGGGGGCTGGGTAAATATAGGTGAACAGAACGAACCACAGAAAGGCATAAATAATGCCATATTCATATCAAAGAACTACAGGCTAAATCATCGTGTCCTTCCAATTCAACAGCAACAATGATGATACTGATACATATGCATGATTATATATCTTACATTTCCCCTAACTCCTTCCAAAATGTAAATGCCATCATTAGTCAAAGCAGAGTGATGCTTACAGAGAAAAAAAAATCATTAGTCTTATGTCTACCCTCCTCCCTCTCCCCAGGGACACTGCAAGAGGTGTCATTTGGTCTCATGGATTTTAGTGATCACCTGCCACCAATAGTCCCAATCAGGATTAACTTCTTGACCTCACCTAAGAGGCCTTGGTTTCAGTGACTTTCATGCAGATATAATAGAAGGAACACAGCCACCTCGACGCGGTGTGTCTTCTCCCTCCAACTTGCTTCCCCTCCTTTATGCCTGATTTCAATTTTGGGAACCACTATTCATCTATCAATTTTATTATTTAAAATGAAACCAGTAAGTGAGACTTTATAAAATTTTCTCCTTTATCCCAATATCTGGCCAATGCCCACTCACACCCCCCCACTTTTTTTCCAACCCCTAACTGATCTTTCTACACTTTTAATTCTCTTACATTTATCTTCCTATTTATGACCACAATCCTACATTCAAATGATGAACTGAGTCTGATGGGTTACACTAAAATTACCTGCACATGTTTCTCCAGATTCTAAGCTCTTTAAGAGCGGATCCTATGTACAGCCTGAATGATTTTTTTCAGTTAAAAACTTCACACAGAGAAAAATTTCTGCTGGAGATTAAATTGCTGCTGCAAGTTTAACATAGTAACCAGGTCTTTTTACTGTAATAAATGCCACTGTTAATTTTAACTACCTTGACATTTTCCTTAAAGTTTATGCCATTCTACAAATAGTCAGAATTTATGCTCCTAAAGAATGTCAATAATTCTTGAATTTGTTATGTTTATCTTTTTCATCCAGCAACCATTTGTAACATACGTTTGCTGTGTAAAATGCCTGATTCGAAGGCAGTTTTGAGCTATTCTTAAACCCCTTTATTCCAATTCCTGTGCACTTTTTAAAAACATGATTCCTGAAAAATAGGATAAAAAAATGTTTCTACCTATTGTATAATATGGTGGTGCAAACAATACATCTTTCTTTAGATATATGGGCAACATGTATGAGTTTCAAATGTTCCCTTTCTATTTTCAATTAGTTCTCTGTTCTCAAGGTGCCAAGCCTTGCTCCTTAGGTGTCTGAATATCCACCCATCTGATTTTAAGAATCAACCCTTCTGTTCCAGGCTGCTTATGCTATACCTCAAAGCTATACCTTCACTCAAATCGCTCTAATCACACACCTTCCAGGAACTGAAGATTGGGGAACTATCTTTTGAGTCTCTGGCTTCATGCACTGGGTCTACTTTAAAAGTCAAAGCATCTGGAAAAGATGAGTGCTATAAAGAGTCAGCACCACGAGCTTGATTAGAAATACCGTTGGGAACTAGAAAGCACATTATAATACAGAGGAAATTCAGATAACAACTACTCAGTTGTTATCATAGAATCATTTTACAGAAAAAACCACAAGATAGAATTCAAGACCTTCCCAAGAGCTCATGCAGGAAACAGATGCCACCAAGGCTTTTCGAGTCTGCAGAGGGGACTAGGTCTGCAGGCTGCTGTTACTCTCTCTACTGGAGGAAGGACCAAACTTACTGGACAAGGTCCTCGTGCTCCGTCTTTCACCTTGCCCTTTAAAATCAAGATACACTCTTTATAACCTCAGATGGAATGAATTCTTATCAGTTCTGTGAACACTGGGGACAGGGAGAGGGTACTCCAATTAAGGACATCAGAAGCCCTACTCACCGAGTTACATTTTCTACTTTTGTTTGCTTGGTTATCCTAGCAGCTAAGTGGAAAATTAAAATCAAACAAGGGAGATGCAGGGAGACTGTGTGGGCCAACTTCGAGATAAGCAGCAGGTAACGGTGGCCCTAGCACAGTCCCAAACACAATCCAGAGCTGCTCATCCATCTTAGTGCTATCAAGGGGCGTTGATCAGCCGGCACCCCACTTCCAGCTGATGGAGTAGCAACAGGTCCCCCCATGGGGTGCCTGTCTGTTTAGCATGTGTGATTTGTTTCACCCTCAGTTACACAGTGAGAGCATCTGCATCCAGTGATCTTCCCTAAGCTATGTGTGACAGTGTGGCTTTCACTACTGTATCTAATGGAAGTGTAACCTGCAAACCTTCACAGGCAGCATTGGAGAATACAGCTGGTGTTACTAACTTTAGGGAGCTGAAGATCAAAGAGGGAGGGAGAGGGACAGCACAGGGACCTGATTTTCCACAGTTCCCACATAGTGAGTCGTGGTAGAGATCTTTAGTTCACTCCAGGAATTAAGAAATTCGCAAACTAGCTGTGACGCTCCTGCATTTTGGGGAAAACTTCTCAAATCAGAGGTGGAGCTGCTCAAGCAGGTACCTGAGTCAATATGTGGCAACCCTGGTATTAGAAAAGGATTTAATTTTTTTTAAAAGCACTGAGATGCCCAGGGGTTTTCCTCCTCCTCTTTGAAAAATCTAACTTCATTATAGATTTTTAATGTTTTGACATGCCCAGAACTATTAACTAACAGTTCATGTTATTTGTGAAAATAAGATGAACTGAGTATTGAGTGACTTTTCCAATAAACTTCTCAGGCTCTGATGATCTCTCCTAAGTTAGGCAGGGCAAATACAACATAAACCAATTTCACTTTTTCTAATTATTCTTATTCTGGTGTATCCCTCAGGTCAGATTTAATGTGCAGTTTTATTTTTTCTGAGAATGTTAAGGAAGCAACAAGAAAAGATGTTGACACTCAATTTACTATAATTAGAAATAAGTTATGTGCCACAGAAAAAACTAAAGTCTGGTAGTTTCTTTCTAAACCCCTTTAAATGAATTTTTCTTCCTTTACAGAATTTATGTGTGTGTGTGTGTGTGTGTTCATATACATGCACACACATACTCAAGTGCACACATATCTACTTATACACATAGATAGATACATCTGTATCTCTATCTAAGTGGATAGATACATAAATGGAAAGAATGAAGAAAAGAAGAAACTAAAATTGAAGAAGTGCAAGTCCCCCAGGTTTAGAATTAAACAGTAGGAATGCTAAAATAATCAGTAATTCCTTTCATTTTAGGCAGGAGAAAATCAAGATCTTAAGCAGACCGTATGTCACAGCCTTAGCTATACATTTTGCAGCACTGACAATACTGGATTAATAATAGACTACAATAATTAGTTGACATAAATCATACGAATTTATAAGCCTATATCTGTCTTCTATGAAATCACTTCCAAAATTATGTCGGTGGGTCTTAGTATTCTTGAACATAGTTTTACCAACTAAAAAATGTTGCTTTTGCTTTACTAAATCTCTTTAAACTGGCTTTTATGGCAGTTATAACATAATTTACATTGATCTCTTTTATTTCTTGTAAATAAATTTTCACTGTCAGTTCTTCACTTTTGATCTATAATAGTGATCCAATATTATACAAATTGTGTTCTTACATTTGTAGGCTGACAGCTTTGGAGGAGAGTTTGAAGGTCATGTCATTCCGTTTCCCAGTAGCAGTCATCTCACAATGCCTGTGACTAACAAGTCTTGGGTGGCTGCCCTTCTTGGTCCTCCTTGATCTGATCCCTGCAGTGACTTCTCAAGTGGTGTCTCCAACCTTACCTTGGCCCTCTCTGCCACCTGCCTTCCACTCTCTTCTCCATACTTTTCTCTCAGTCTTTGAATGTGCCCAGCTCTAAGCCAGGTTACATTCTGAACAGTGAGTTGCTTGTTGTGTGTGTGTGTGTGTGTGTTTTTTTTTTCCGATTCTTCACCTGCCTGGCACCCAGACATCCTTTAGCTCTCAGCTGAAATGCTAATTCCTCACACAAGTCCTCTTGACCACTCCCACCATTATTATTTCCCATTTAAAGAAGCTACTTGCAGCCATGAAGATCCCTTCACATTCTTGGATTTTAATTTTCCTTTAGTGTTATCTAATCCTTCAATTTTGAACACATTTTTTTACACACAAAAATAGAGGGAAGCAGAACAGTAACTGAACAAACTCACTTTCTCTTGCATGTACTCACATGATGATAAGTGACCCCTCCTTAGCCACTGCGTTGTTCTGTACAAATGCTCACAGAATCTTTGGTTCTCAGTAATGTTTTCCAAACTTCAACCCATTCTGGTTTCAGTCTTCCTTAAGCCATGCTGGGAGCTCAGCGAACACCTGTGCAAGCATTTCACCCTGTACGTTCCTATGCTGATCTGTCCTAGAAACCAGTTTTAAAAACGGATTTTATTCAAGCCTGCATGTAACCGCATGAGTTTTTCCAGTGGTCTCTCTCTTTTCCATTTCTCAGTATCTTATTTTGAGAACTCCATCCCCTTCTTATCCGAGATGCTAATGATTCCACATAGCCACACATAATCACCACGCCCCAGTCTTCACCTTGTCCTTTATCCTAGAAATGTCTGACAACACTCACCATTCTTAGAAAAAACTTCCTGGCTTGAGTTCTTGATGATATTGCCTTCTGGTAATTTACCGCCCACTTAACTGGCTTTTAAATAACTCTTCTGTGCAAGATCCCTCTCTCTAATCTCTCTCTAGGTGATATCCCCAAGACTATGGCTCTAAACAGAATCCAAAGGCAGTGGATTCTGAAATGTCTATATTCAGCTACGACTTCCTCTAAGGGCCCCAGATTCATATATGCAAAAGCTCAGTTGGATATTTCCACTTGGATCCCTAAAAATACCTCAAATGGCTGGAAACAAATTCTTCATTTCCCTTGCAAAGCTTTTCCCTACGTCTACCCATCCTAGAACATGGCTTTCCCATCTACCTAGTATCTTCACCACGCATCCTGGTGATCATTTTGACCTTTTCTTTCCATCATACTTACCCCTTAACCACTTCATTAGCAAGTCCTCTTAGCTCTTCCCTCAAATATTTTCTGAAGAAATATACTTCTCTTCTGGACTACGGTTCCCACTCTAGTCTATGCCCTTGTCCTCTCCATTCTCCTGAAATAGCCTTCTGTCTACTCTAGTCAGCACACAACCCACTGTATGTATTCAAGGAAGCAGAGAGATCTCTGCAGAAAGATCATTTCCTTAGATATGAATGCTTTCATCACACAGAAATAATGCTTGAGGTGATAGGTGGATATGCTAAATTTCCTGATTTGATCATTACACAATATACAGTTGTCCTTCGGTTTCTGGAAAGAACTGGTTCCTAGACCTCATGCATATACCAAAATCCATAGATGTTCAAGCCCCTTACAGAAAAGGGCACAGCATTTTCATAGAACCTATGCATACCCTGTAGTGTACTTGAACTCATTTCTAGATTACTTATAATGCCTAATAGAATATGAATGCTATGACAATAGTTGTTATACTACAGTGTTTAGGGACAATGTGTGTTAGTCAGCTATTTTGTAGCTATGACAAAATACCTGACGAAAACAACTCAGAGGAGGAGAGATTCATTTTTGTTTACAGTTTCAGAAGTTTCAGTCTATGGTCACTTGACTCTTATCCCTGGCCCTGTGGTGAGGAAGAACCTCACGTGGGGGTGTAGCAGTACAAAGCTGCTCACCTCATGGCAGTCCAAAAGAAAAGAGTGGGACAGTCAGGGACAAGATATAGCCCTCAAGGGACATACCCAAGGACCCACTCCCTTCAACTAGGGGTTATCTCCAACAGTTTTTATCACTGGATGAGGTCACAACCCTCAGAACCAATCAATTCCTAAAAGCTTCACCTCTGAACATTGCTGCATTGGGATGCAAGCCTCCAATAGATGAGCCTTAGGGGACATTCCTGATCCAAACCACAGCATAATGACAAGAAAAATAAGTCTGTCCATGTTCAATACAGATGTAGTTTGTTTTCAAATATTTTGATTCGCAGTTGGTTAATTATGAGGGTGCAGAACCCACCAATACAGAAGGCCAACTGTATACATATTGAACATCAAATAGTTGTACATGTCTTTGTACCCTAAAGACATGTACAATTATTGTCTGCCAATAAAAAATAAAATAAAACTCTAAAAAATAGTCACCCTCCACCCCTGGAGAATTATTTTACTCTTTCACATATTTTCCGTAACAACACTGAGACTTATAGAACCGTTTATTTGTTTAATTATTTATATCCCTGGAATGTAATTTTCACAATAGCAGAGATCCCAGTATATTTTATTAATCTACTTTATGCACAGTGCTTAGGGGAATATTCAAGTTCATAGAATACTCAATAAAGTATTTCTTAAAAAATGTTTGACAGGTTGTACCTAAAGCACAGTGTTTTTGTGTTTCCTCATTTCACCCAGGATAAAATCAAAAGCCAACATATTTTTTTATGACTTTCAAAGCCCCCATGACCTGACCCTATTACTGTCCTTCCCTCCCTTCTCCAGACCTTACCTCTCCCTTTGTCTGAGCCAGATACACAAATTTCTTGCTGTCCCTGGAAGGTGCCAGGCAACCCCTGCTTCCTATCCTTTAGTCTGGAATGTTCTTCTTCTCCCATCCACAGGGATCACTCTCTTCCTTGTTCAGATCAATACTAAAATACAAGTTCAGCGGGGCTTGCCCTGGGCACCTGATCTACCCTTCCCACACTCCTTGCCTTCTGACAGTGACAGTTGATGTGTGCCTGTCTTTCTTTAGTCTCTTTCCTTAGCACCTTTCTCTAATGCACCATCAATTTAATTGCTCATCTTATTCATTTTTTATCTCCCATGGAAAGGTAAGCTCCATAGGGTTAGGGAATGTTGTCTGTTTTGTCCACTTTTGTCCCACATGGAATCCAGAATAGTGCTTGTTGACACTATTAATAAATACGTGTTGAATAAAAGGACAATCAACTTAATATAGTTTTTTCTCAGTATATTGAGCAGTTGTTTGGTTAAAAAGACTGAACTTATTGAAGAGTTCTTTTCACCATTTGTTAAGCAGAGTGCTCTTCACATCACTGATCATCTAGCCTGTCAATTAAAGAGGACTGGGGAATAAAGGTTAATATTTGGAGAGCATGAATAATTATTGTGAAGGACCTGAAACAAACGAGGTTAGAGCCTCAATTCCGTATGTAGAGTTTGAAATAGACTTGTTATGCTCAATGATGTTGACGCTTCCTGTGTCTACAGAATAAACTTGAGCCCCACATATTCCTACTAATGAATAAAAAATCATCCCCCTTCAGCATCTATCTTTTAGAAAGTGACTTACTCTCCATCGGAAACATCTGTCTTGTCCTGTTTCTATTGTAATTGTTTTCCTGCATCTCAACATTACAATTACTTGCTTCAGAGCTGAACTGTTGGCTAACCAGCTTTGATGAGTCGACTCAAGAAACAGAATTAATCATGACACAAACTTTATGTGAATAGTTGATCTACATTTCATGCTCTACTGACCAGAGAGACCAGAAACCTAACCAAAATGTCCAAGAAGGAGGATGGGAAAAGAGCCGATTTCTGTTCTGAACCACTTGGGGGTTAGGGACAATGTTCACATTCCTAGAAGAGCAGATAACTAATGAGCAGCGAGTCTGAAAGTGGAAGGAAGTTCTAGTACAGGGTGGTACACCAAGGAGATGAGATGACTTTCCTAGTGTTACCTTCCCATCAGGTCAAATGTGACTGCTCAGAAACGACCCATGAGAAAGGAGAGTTGTGGTTTGCTTGCATTTGACAGATCCCCTTTATTCCTTCTTGGCCACTATGAGAACAGGCTTATCCGGTTTCATCTGAAATGTTTTGTTTTCCTTTCAAAACAGTGATGTTAACATTGTACAGGAGTCCACAGTTGATTCTTAAGCAGAAAAGCCTCATTAATATTAAACTACCAGTCAAGATCACCCTTTTTGGTCATCCGTAAGGCATCTCCTCTTGCCTTCAAGAGTGGCTGAACTCATCTGGGCAGGGGATTATGCTAGGAAATATGAAAAAAAAAAAACTATCTGGGGGGTGTGGCAGTGTGGCACAAGAGAAGTTTGACTCTCATTTTGTTTATGTCTAAATGAGCCACATAATTGCTTTACTATTGTATGCAATAAATCATCCCTAATTCAGATCATTTAAGGGAATATTTAAAAAATTTCAAGTACTTGAGCATCTTTTGGCTTTGTATTTTAAAAAATTTGTTCTTTTTAGATATACACAACAGTACAGTGTATTTTGACATATTATAAACACATGGAGTATAACTTAATATGACTTTCATTTTATAACTATAATGTGGACTTCATAGTAGCTTGAAAATGCAGTAAGCTTGCATACCTGAGTATGTCACCATAGCAAAGTCCACCTCTTCTGTTACTTTTTGAAGTTCATAACTATAAACTATTTATGTTCTATACATATCATCTTATGAACAAGTGTAAATATATATAAATATTGGGAAATGTAGATGTCAACATTTATAGCTTTCAAATTTTGTTGCATACAACTTTGAAACTACATGCTATTTATTTAGAATGAAGACCATTTTAAAACTACTGAAATCCTATATCCTTACTTTTTGGTCTGGACTCCCAAAGATGCTGCTAAGCACTTTACAGGTGTGACAGCTCTAACCAGTTATAACCCAAAACATAGCTTTTCCAAAGAATGGAGTCTGTGCTTAGAACTCACCTGCTTCAATAGTCTTTGGGGGCTTAACTAGGTAATGTACCAGGTGGGAAAATCTTGGAAGCTAGTTTATTGTGACCATCTGAAGGGACACACACACACACACACACACACACACACTGGCACCCATGTATGCACATCATAGTACATGCAACACGTAGATCAGAATTCAAAAGTAACAGCCAAACATTGAAACACAGAAATCATTCCTGATTTCTCTATGGCTGATTCACCCGAGGAAGTGGGGGAAAAAAAAAATCTTTGTCCTCTCACTTGCCAGACTGGCCTCACTAAGTCACTTCTTCCCAACGAAGCTCTAAACACACCATCATCATCCTTATCCTGATTAATCGGTATCCTGTTTTTTAGAGACAGAGGGGAGGGAATTGGCATGACCCGTGTGCCTGGACCCCGGGTTTTGGTTTTCTGTCCTAACCAGCTGTCGGGTAGGCAAAGAGCAAAACAAAGAACCACCCGGAGTTGGCCAGGGCTTCCGCAGCGCGCGGTGCCAGGGTCTCAGTCTGCAGCTGCGCTCGCTCCGCAGACGCCGGGCTCAGCCTCGGGGCCTGCGCTCCCCTCCGCGTCGCGGTTCCCCGGGGATCGGGCACCCGCAGCCGCCGAATACCCAGAGTGGGTGGGGACGCATTCCAGCCGCCGCTGCCCGCCTGCCCCAACTCACCAGCCTGCGAAGTTTCAGCGCCGAGGAGGCTGGTGTCAGATTTCAGCGACGTCTCTTTCCCGTCCCCAGCTCCGGGACCGGCCACCACGCACGATCTGCTTCACCGGGCGACGGGCATAGGAAAGGCTCCTTCTTTTTCCAACCTGTGGCTCGGGATAGGTCCAAAGCCAGGCGGTCCCCAGCCCCTGCCAGTCGGGACTGCAAGTGGCAGGTCTGGTAGCACCACCCCTGGGAGTCCTCCGAGGCCACTGGATCAGGGAGGTTTGTGTGAGAAGAAGGCGTGTCTCCGAGTCCTAACGCGGATGTGCCCGGCTCACCTCAGGCAGATCTTGCCAGTGACTCAACCGCTGCAATAAGAAACGCATTTGGCTCCTGGTTAAATTCTCCGCACTGTGGGCTCCAAGCCCGAGCGGCGAGCTCATTTTTATTCATTATTTTTCTCTGATCTATTCAAAGAGCCCCTGGCACCTTGAGAGAACCGCTCGCTTGGAGTGTTTCTCTCCTCCGAGGGGTGTCTACAAATACAGAGAGAGCCAGGGATGCGGGTGGGGGACAGAGGAAGGCCTCAGGGAAGTAAAAGGGGATTGGAAAGAAATTGCATTTTAAAAGTTAGAATGTGTGCACACGAATACATTGGTTTCACCAACCTAATCCTTGCTTCTTAAAATCAGTGCAGAAATCAATAAGTTACTATTAAAATAATGAGCACACACGGTCATTGAACAAATATTTACTAAGTACCTACTACGTGGTAGGTCCTGTTCTGAACACTACAGGTTTATCCACAAAGCAAAGATCCTGGCTGGTCTGCTGGGGACTGCATTTTGGACATAACTCTGATTTCCCTAATTTTCAGACTCATGGTAAAAGTAAGACCACAAGGTTGCATATCTGTAATTATGATGGCTTTATTCCTCTGAGAAGAAAATAAAAATATTCCAAACCTATTGTTTGCATTTTTATTAGTAAGCAATGAGATAATTGTTGAAATTTAAATTGCTTAA